CAAGGTTAGAACACCAGAGATACATAATATCCACTGACAATCCATTGATCAGATCAATCTAGAAACTATCGAGTTTACAATCAATAATACTCGAAACATAGTGAGGGAATGTATTACAAAAAATGCAGTTAGAACAAGTGAGGTCACCATACTACCCAGTGATGCTGGCTTGTGCAGTATTAACGTTATAGGTGAATTGTCCATTTCCAAAAGGCGCATGTTCACATCGGATCATGCACGGAATGATGTTAGCCGATGTATCTGTTCAAATTAGTGCCAGGAAACATGGTAAGTAATGGCTGCAGTTGGGCGCGGTACTCGGAGTCCGCGGGAATCCCTGGAGTGTGACAATATTACATAACACAAGCAGGTTACGTGATGTCAAATGTGTCTCAATAATCCACAAACATTGTGCGTTTCTAATTGGGAAAATGCTGCGATAAATGTGCATAACACGTATTAATCCCTGTGCTGGGGGTTCCCATACATGATAAAGGCACCTGTGGGAGTTTAAACGTAGCATGGTTTGCAAATAAATTCTGCCTTAACACCACCTGTATGTGCCCCGTCCAACTTTATCCATGATTATATTAGACAATAAAACACTTTCACTTTCACCAGAAGAATTGTTTAGCTCATCGTCTGAGCTGTCTAGACTCTATGCACTAAGTGAAACTTTGCTCCAAGGCCAGACAGCTGGAAATCGACTCGTGCCTCCTGAGGACTGGGAGAGGCTTGTGAGCTTACAATCTAATGGGGGAGGCAGTGACCAGCTGGAAGCTATGGAAGGTTATTTATCATACATATAGTAAAATTCTCAGTTTTATTTGCAAATAGTATTTTCCCAGCAAGGACAATTAATCAAATCTTAATAATGTATATTGACTATCCTGGGCAACTGCTCCTTCCACCTTAACGCAGGGTCAGAATAGAGTTACACACTTAGATACACCTTGAAACACTCACGCGCAGTCTGACGGATTAACGCATACACACACACACTCCACTGACACGAGAACACACACTCATGCACACTCCACTGACACAAGCACACACACACATTCATGCACACTTTAAAACATATATGTAAACTTTGATACACTCATTATGTATGCATTCACACACACACATACACTCTGACATGCACACTCTGAAACATTTACATGAACCACAGCCATGCACATTGACACAATCAGAAGTACAGAATTAGACCTGAGGCTTCTAACACTCCTGGATTCCTGGAATCGAGGTTATTTTATGAAGAACCATTTTGTACTTAAAGCTTTCTTCTCCCAAAACAGAAGCTTTATCACCAATGCCATTTGTAGTAAATGCCTCAGGGCCTCCTTCTGGGTGTTTTGGAGAAACATACAATATTTCTTCTCCTGGCAGCTGCTAGCTGTTAAAACATACCTCCCAAGTGTCATCTTTAAATTCCAAAATCCCTCTGTCCCTCTTTTCTATCCTAATGTCCCTCTTTTCTAGGAGCTCCATATTGTCGATGTGAATACCAGAGCTCCACAGAAATAATACTCCCAGTAATGTATCTGAGTGTATAACAGAGCTCCACAGCGATAATACTCCCAGTAATTTTCTTTAAACTACAATACATGATTTTAGAAATAAGATATTTTATTCTTATTCCAAATTACATTTTCTGTCCCATAAATGGTTATCTGTAGCCAGGAAATCACCTAAATGTCCATTCTCTGAAAATGACATTCCTAAATTTACTGATATTGAGTGAGGCTCTTACTGGAAGGAGTGAAGCAACATAGGAAAGTAAAACATGCCCTTCTGTATCAAAGCTCCATAATGCTGAGACCACCTGGGCGTCTGTTAAGAAATGCAGTATGAGCCCATATGCACTTGGGCATTCTTTTACTGTTGCATTGCAGCTGCATGCGCCCAAGTGAATGACACTGAGGATCAAAGTAATTTGCATAGTATGCTCTGGTTGTGCCAGGACCTTCAGACATATGATGTAAAAAAAATAAAAAATTGAAATAAAAACTGGGCAGAATTTAAAACAAAAACTATATAAATCCAATTTTTAGTTCGTTTTTGGTCTGTGCAAAAACAAGTCATATAATAGTTCCACTTTAAATAGACACATAGGGGGCGCTGCTGCTGGGAAATTCTAGAATAAAACAAATTATGAATTGAATATTGCAAATTAGGTTTAAATGTACTGCAGTTAGCTGTTCAGTGAACACACCCTAGATATATTTGTGTTGCTTAAGTAGATATATAGCTGATTAATTAGGAGATGTTAGTGATCCAGGAAATGATTCTGGGAAATTGAATTTAAAATCATTATTATTTATAAATAACAAAGATATTCTCCAGAGGTCTGCCATGAATACAGGTGGTGAAACACCAAACAAATAAGGCAATGAGGGCCTAGTCCCAAGAGCTAACAATCTCCAATGAAATAGTACTCACAGTAATTGGACAAAAGGCAATGAGGACCTAGTCCCAAGAGCTAACAATCTCCAATGAAATAGTACTCATAGTAATTGAAAGGCATTAATTTATGACATTTTATGTTAAGATGCCTTCAATTGCAGCAGCTTATATTTCATTTTATTTTCCATAGAATCACATCACACATCATCAACGGGACACTTTAAATAAATCTACTGTTTGGGTAATCTTGGAAAAACACAAAACGGAGGCATTTCCTATAGCCTCTCCATTAATTAATAGAACTTTAAAAAATATATATCTACGCATGATATAGACAGATGGATATTTTCTACAGATAAGGATCACTAATCCCCATTTTTACAAATCGAATCCTTATTCCAGTCTCCAAGTATCCCCTGCACAGCTGCTAACTTATATCATCTTTGGGGTAAATGAGACTGAAATATGATCTCAGATAAATAATTAACATTTTCAGTCCAGGTGCTGAGTAGTGGGTGTCTGAGAAAATAATACACAAAAATCCATCTATCTGTCTGTCTGTCTATCTGTCCATCTATCGATTTACAGTTTCCTAAAATTCAGTCTTTGGTAAACAAACCCCACTTGGAATACTACTTAAAATAATTAAAACCCTAATATTTCTAAAAATTAGCACAATAGACATTCAATTACTAATTCAATATTTCCTATAACATTTGTTAATAATGGCCCCTAGTTGTTATGAGGTACGTAAAATGCCTCCTAAATATACTGGATGTGTAAGATAATTTTTCTTTTTTTACAATTAAATGATAGTGTGTTCAGGCAATCTGTGCTCACTAGGAGTTTTCTTAATAGAAAGCACAGAGTTTGAATCAAAACTAGAATCATACCATTAATATGATCTCACATTAAAACATCACATCTTTTAGGGATTAATTGAATAATTAGTGAATTTCAGTGCATCATTGTTTTTCAAATCAGCTTTTTATACATATTTAGAAAATTCAGTTTCAATACACAATTATTTAGGGAATAATTTATAAACTCGGTAGCAAGGAAAGACAACTGAAAGAGGAGCATACAGATGCAGTAAACCAGATTTAAGATAATAAATTTAATTTCACTCTGCTATTATCACTGAAAAGGCCCAACTTGGGCATTTCATGCAAATGAACTTCGATTTCCAATAAATACTCCTAAACAATAGCAATATATGCCTCCAAATAAAAAACAACTGAAAATTGAACTAAAGTGAATTGTTGAGAATGTCAAAGTAAGTTCAATGTGAATTTCAAATTTGAAAACAAATTAGATAAATAGTAAACTTTCTCCACATTAGATATATATTCTAAATTGCCCTAAAATGTTAAGTTCCCTCTTAATTTGTGCCAAATTCTCGACAAGTCACCGTTCAGTGACTAAGCCTGTATATGATAGGATTTGCCACGGATGAATCGTCAGTTCCTCAGGTTTTGCTGCTTTTTTTTTCAATGTGGATCTAAAGCTTTTACTGAAAGACTCAGTGGGCAAAACTTGTTAAACGTGAAAGTATTAATTATAGGGACAAAAATGTTTCCAAGACAAACAAACAAACCTGGCTGCCTCCCCATAAATGACACCAATAAAAGATCATAAATACTTTTGAAAATCAGCCTTTTGGGGTAATTTAGCAATAAACGCAGATTTTGTTATCATACTCTGTCTGGGCATCTCCCACCCCCAGCTGTACATCGTCTACATAACTGACATGGATATACTGTAGCTTTATGTCCATCATTACAAAATGTACCTGTAGTACCTTATTGATCCCTTATTACATAGTACATACTGTATGTTGTCTACGTATGTATCGTATGTGATCTATCATTCATTATATAATGTATATACTATATATTATTATTACACACTGTATGTATCGTATGTGGTCTATCATTCATTATATAATGTATATACTATAAATTATTATTACACTGTATGTATCGTATGTGGTCTATCATTCATTATATAATGTATATACTATATATTATTATTACACACTGTATGTATCGTATGTGGTCTATCATTCATTATGTAATGTATATACTATATATTATTATTACACACTGTATGTATCGTATGTGATCTATCATTCAAGTAATGTATATACTATATATTATTATTACACTGTATGTATCGTATGTGGTCTATCATTCATTATGTAATGTATGTACTATATATTATTACACACTGTATGTATCGTATGTGATCTATCATTCATTATATAATGTATATACTATATATTATTATTACACACTGTATGTATCGTATGTGGTCTATCATTCATTATATAATGTATATACTATATATTATTATTACACACTGTATGTATCGTATGTGGTCTATCATTCATTATGTAATGTATGTACTATATATTATTATTACACTATATGTATCGTATGTGGTCTATCATTCATTATGTAATGTATATACTATAAATTATTATTACACTGTATGTATCGTATGTGGTCTATCATTCATTATGTAATGTATATACTATAAATTATTATTACACACTGTATGTATCGTATGTGATCTATCATTTATTATGTAATGTACATACTATATATTATTACACACTGTATGTATGGTATGTGATCTATCATTCATTATGTAATGTATATATTATTTAATTATTTATTATTAATTACACTGTATGTATGGTATGTGATCTATCATTCATTATGTAATGTTTACACTATATATTATAATTACGCTGTATGTATCGTATGTGATCTATCATTCAAGTAATGTATATACTATATATTATTATTACACACTGTATGTATCGTATGTGATCTATCATTCATAAAGTAATGTACATGCTATATATTATTATTACACTCTGTATATATATATATATATATATATATGCTATATATTATATGTGTTGTATGCTGTCCACCATTATTTAGCACATATTACTTATCATTCATTACAGATTTTATCAACCATATTGACTACATCACATTTTATATATTTATTATATTGTTCACTAATGAGTGAAAAGTGCTCTTTTTCTCTCTCTCTCTCTATAGACTACACACAAAATATATATATTATATATATATATCACACACACACACACACACACATATATATTTAAAGATTATTAATTCTGATTATGGGGAATCTGATATATTTACATTTCAGAAGCAAATATCATGATATCAATATCATATCATTAAAAAAACAAAACATTAGGTCTATCCAGCACACTTACAAAGATGAGTAATTAAGCAGAGGTCAGGGGCTGGCATATAGTAAAATAAGTGGGCATATGGTACAGAGAGAATAGAGAATATTGGTAGATGGCTACTTTCTGTATATCTGTTAATGTTCTTCTGCTCCTAAATCTGTTATACTCTAAAAACGCCCTACTAATAGTGAACCTCGATATATCCCCCAAAATTGTCGACCATTAAGCCTTGTTGTAAACACCAGGAGAATTTACTTGCTATAGGATGGGGTGAGAGGACATTAATAGCGGTCGGCCGGGGTCAGCAGCTGCCTACAATTATTGGAGAGTCTATATTGCCCCTAGGGAACTGTAGAAACTGAGAATTAAAACCGCGGTCACTTATATGATATAACAACATCTT